TTTCTTATTGGTTGATGGATTGGGTCTATGTCTATACATCTGTTGATTGCTGATTGACCTGAATGCCAAGCTTCTAGGAATTCTCTGAAATTTTTTGTATTTCCTCTATCCAAGTTTTCTACATTGTCGAAATTGAATTCATGTCCATAATTATCCACATGCATTGAAATGAGTGATGAAATATCGTGACGTTTAGCAGCCAATTGGTGTCCTACATGAACAGTTACAAAGTCAATTTCATTAACATATATTTTAATACTAGGTGATAATTGAAGGTGTCCTACATGAACATCAATTGGCTGCTAAACGTCACGATATTTCATCACTCATTTCAATGCATGTGGATAATTATGGACATGAATTCAATTTCGACAATGTAGAAAACTTGGATAGAGGAAATACAAAAAATTTCAGAGAATTCCTAGAAGCTTGGCATTCAGGTCAATCAGCAATCAACAGATGTATAGACATAGACCCAATCCATCAACCAATAAGAAAGATGATAAACGACAAAAAGGTCACAGGTCAAGCAAAGGAACAGCCAACAGGAAAATCTATGCAGTCAATGACACAACAATCAAAGGAAACAACCAATCACAGACCACATCGTCAGAGCAAGCTACTAAATCACTCACGGAGAGATATTGACAGCTCACTTCATACTGAAGTTAGTGCTGATGATGTCGTCTAGCAAGGCGATGAAAGCTTCACGATCAAACAACCCAGCTAAGAGAACACAATACAACCAAGACCATCCACCTGAGCTACAAATATTCTCCACTATTTCAACTCTAAGATTCTTGTTAAAAATTTCCTCCCATATTATTACTACTCTTATTATCTTTCTCGTTTCACACATATTAACCATTTTAGGATGACATATCCATTCTAATTGTCCTTGGGTAAATTCATATCATCATTCTTTGTACTAATCACTCACTCTACACAATGCAACCTTGGACTTTATGATTAATTTGCCTTCCCCCAAACGTCTGGTTAGCAATCAATTGACGAAATTTACACTCAACTTATCACCACCATTAATTAGACTACCATCCATAAACTCAAAGGACCAAATTTTAATGATAATTCCATACCCATTCCTAAATATACATTTACCGTAAATTCTGGTTATTAATATATTATCATTTCGACTATTTGAGATAGCCGTGATTTGGCAGACTAGTGGTACTGATACTGGGCGATGAGTGAAGGCATGATGAAAGTTTGGACCGCGGCCATTATAAATACTAGTCTGCTAAACCACAGCTATCTCAGATAGTCAGACAAAGTTCTTGGTGATTGAAGGCGAAGTAAAAATCTGGCAAGCATTCGGACCGCATTGCAGACCATCGGGCCGGAAACTTAGTGATCGCTAGTTCGAATCCCGCCGTGGTTCAAATTTTCATTTCACCTTCAGTTATCACCTAGTATTAAAATATATGTTAACGAAATTCACTTTATAACTGTAGATCCTCATGAGAAGTTATTGAAAAGAATATTCTTTGTTCATATTTGACTTTTAAAAATATTTATTTTTTTATTATTTATTATTAGTCACCTTGGGTTCCTAGTGGAACATAGGGCTTCAGTAGCACGCCTCCAGTGACCTCAGTTCTCTGAGATCTTTTGAACCTGGTCCCACGACAGCCCACAACCTCTCATTTCCTCCTCGCACGACCTCCTCCATGTCACCCTCACCTCGGACGTCCAACTCGTCTCTTCCCATGGGGATTCCACTCGAGCAACTGGCCTGACGCGTGATGTCCTCCGTCGACCTTCTCAGTATATGGCCAATCCATCTCCACTTCCTCCTGCATATTTGTTGCGTGATAGGTTCTTGGTTGGTTCGTTCCCAGAGTTCCTTGTTGCTTATTCTTTCTGGCCATCCATCTGATCTTCAGCAGCGAGCGTAAGCAGTTGTTGATGAATGTCTGTAGTTTATTGGAAATGCCTTTCGTGACGCGCCAAGTCTCTGAACCATACAAGAGCACTGACTTGACGTTGGTGTTGAAAATCCGTATCTTGTTCCGCATGCTGAGTGCAGAAGATCTCCACACTGGTTTCAGGCTAATGAACGCCTGTCTTGCTTTTCCGATTCTCACTTTGACGTCCTCGTCCGTCCCGCCTGTAGTTGAAACAGTGCTTCCTAGATAAGTGAAGGAGGTTACTTCCTTTAAGTTTCTCCCGTTGATGGTGATGGTGATTGGAGTTTGTTGTTGTTGTTGTTGATGGTGGTGGTGCGGTATCTTCATCACTTCTGTCTTCTCTATATTCACCTTAAGTCCCGTCTTAGCTGCCTCTTCTATCAACTTGTTAGTTTTTGCCTGCAGATCTTCAAGTTTGTGTGACATTAGGCATAAGTCATCGGCGAAATCCAAGTCTTCTAGGTTCTTTTCGTCAGTCCAGTGTATCCCCCTCTTCTCGCTGCCTACTGTTTGCTGCATGATCCAGTCCACCACAATAAGGAATATCATGGGGGATAGTAGGCAACCTTGTTTCACTCCTGTCTTCACTTCAAAAGCATCACTGAGCTTCCCATTGTGGATTACTTGGCATGTAGCATCTTCATATAGTTGTTGAATGAGGCGGATAAAGGTTTGCGGTACTCCGTAGTATTGAAGCAGTTTCCAAATTACTTCTCGGTCGACGCTGTCAAAGGCCTTCTCAAAGTCGATGAAGTTGAGGTATAGAGCTGATTGCCATTCTATGCTCTGTTCTATGATGATGCGAAGCGTTGCAATTTGGTCTGCACATGATTTGTACTTCCTGAAGCCTGCCTGTTCCAGTCGCAGTTTTGAATCCAGTGCGTCTTTAAGCCTCTCCAGGATGATGCGGCTCAATATTTTACTTGGGGTGGACAGGAGAGTGATTCCGCGCCAGTTCTTGCAAGCACTGAGGTCTCCCTTCTTCGGCAGTTTGACAAGGTAACCCTTCTTCCAATCGTCAGGTACCTTCTCTTCCTTCCACACCTTCTGCAATAGTGGTGTGAGCATGTCCGCTGTTGTCTCTGCATCTGTTCTCAGTGCTTCTGGCGGTATTCCATCTGGTCCTGATGCTTTCCCGCATTTCAGTAGCTTTATGGCGTTCAGGACTTCCATTTTCGTTGGGGGATTAATGTTCACTTGTAATTCAGCGGCTGCAGGTGGTATTTCTGGACGAAGTGCAGGTGGTGGTGGTGGTCGATTCAAGAGCTTCTTGAAGTGGTCGGCCCATCGTTTCCTCTGTTTCTCTTCTTTTGTAATTAAATTTCCTTCTTCATCTTTTATTGGTTTCATCTGTGTTGGTCTCTTCCCTGATAGCAACCTGGTTATTTGATACAATGTCGTCAGGTCTCTCTTACCTGCAGCCTGTTCTGCTTCACTTGCCAGTGTTTCGTAGAAGTGTCTTTTGTCTTTCCGTGCACTCTTCTTCACTTCTTTGTCCAGTGTTTTATACATTGTGCTCAGTTCCTCTTGTCGTTGAGCATCCTTGCACTGGTTTATCTTCTGCTTCACCATCCTCCTCTCCCTTCTCTATCAGCTTCCAGGTATCCGTCGAGATCCATTCCTTATCTTCTTTCTTCTTCCTTCCTAATACTGTTGTGCAGGTTTCTTTCCACATAGCTTTCAAAGACTTCCAGTGTTCTTCCACACAGGTTTCTTCAGGGATGTCCCTCGATATCTCCCATTTTGTCTTGATGGCTGCCTTGAAGATCTCCTTTGTAGTTTCATCCTTCAGTTTCCGAGTGTTGTACTTGAATTGAGGTCTATCACCAGCTTCCTTGAAGGCTTTTAACTTGATTTGGAAGGTTCCTTGCAGTAGATGGTGAGTGGTCTGAACCTACATCTGCTCCTCTTCTTGACCTTGTGTCAAGTAGACTGCGTCTCCATTTTCTTGAGATTGAGATAAAGTCGATTTGGCTTTCAGTGTGTCCTTGTATCTGGTGAAATCCATGTCGCTTTGTGGATATCCTTGTGCTTGAACACACTGCCTCCAATCACCAAATCGTTGAATGCGCAGAATTCTGCAAACAATTCTCCATTCTTGTTCATCACCTCACCGAGCGCTTCTCGACCCATGGTTAGTTCTCTTCCTGTGTTGTCCCCTCCCAGTTTGGCATTCATGTCACCTCACCCACTAGAATTTTGATATCGCCAACTGACGTCTTGTCCAGTGTTGATTGAAGTTGTCTGTAGAATTCCTCCTTTTTCTCTTGCTCTGCATTATTTGTAGGTGCACAATAGCATTGACATTGTATGATTGTGACCTTCCTTCCTTTTGAGTTGAATCTTGCTGTCATGATCCTGGAGGAGGATTGGTTCCCACTGCATGAGAGCCTTCGATGCTGTTGAGGACATCATGATAGCCACTCCCTCGGTGTGCTCGTGGTTGTCGTCTGGGTGACCGGAGTAGATTATTGATTCTCCAGTTGACAGTTTGGAGACTCCACTCCCATTCCATCTGCTTTCGCAAATCCCAAGCACTTCGATGTTATACCTTCTCATCTCCTTTGCAATCTGGGCTGCCTTACTGGGTTCAAACATCGTGCGGACATTCCATGTCCCCACGTTTACTTTCGCTTTCATCGAGAGAAGACACATCGGCCAACTGGCTTCCCGAAGGCTTTCACCAACTGGCGTCATTTCGCCTCTCCGATTCCAGCGGGGAATAAGTTTGTTTTCATTTTTTATATTTTGTTTGTGCTTTGAAGTTTCTTTAGCGGTTAGATTTGTTTTACGGGGTAGGGCTGCTAGCCCTATGCCCAACCTTCCCTCTTTACCCGAGCTTAGGACCGGCTAGTAACTAGTAAACTAGTTAACCAGGCGAGGTTTTTAAAAATATAAATACTTTGAACTTGTATAATACACATTATAACTAACAATCTAGCACATTGCTTAGTGTTCACATAGAATATATGTGAATGATCCTAAGGATAAGGATTTCTTTAAAATTCACAAATCAGCAAGTCACCAAATAAAATATCAATAAATAGTAACAATAAAATACGATCAACTTACATTTACGAATAACAGAACTGCATTCATTGAACTGATATAATTTGAACAAAGCCAATCCATAAAATAGTCCGGCTGGTATATTATTTAGATAATGAAAAGAAAACCGTACGTCAAAATAATTCAAACAAAAATATAATAGGTAGATAAAAGGATCCGATAGAACCTATTAAGCGAAATACTCAAATTCATGTGATGACTGTGAAGTCAAGTACATAAGTCAAACTAGCAGGCCAAGGTCAGTTAGAATAGCCGAACATAGGAATTTAGCTAAATACAGAATGAAAGACCACAATAAGATCAATGATCTAGAAAAAAGAGCTCGGTTATCGCAATGCATGCATTAACACATAACCACATAATAGGATGAGTGGGATAAAACCACTGTACTTAAGTCCAATATAATTAAGTGGAGATTGAGGGAGATTGATTACTGAATCTTCGTTAATCGAATCAATACCTAATCAACGCTTGTAATAGGGATGACCCAACACCTATACCAGAGATATCGAAAATTTTACAACGAACAAAAACAAAGAATAAGAAGTGATAGGACTATAAAAAAACAGATATCGAAGGTAATTGGACGACGATTGTGAGCAGCGATAATTTATACTCGAAACGTCATCCAGTGAATAATACTGTATCACTGTGTATTATAAATCAAATAAACAAATCTAATATGGAATTACATTTAACCACGGTGTCGAAGTTTTACAACTATATTAGATTTTTAAAAAAACACCACTTGGTAAACAAAAGAAGAAAAGATGACAAGCTCGGGAACAACCACAGTATATTATGCTGAAATATACGAAAAACTGGCAATATTAAACATCTGAACCGGTTCAAATTCTGTTAAGAACACTGTATAGCTTTGCACAAGCATGGAATAACTTCAATCCTGTTTTATAGAGAATAAAGCAAACCTATGTGTAGGCCAACCTTCAACTTTAAAAAATGTCTATATCCCACCTACTGCACTGCATTACTAATCAAAAAGAAATATTACTTAAAACTTATGGAACTAGATCCTGATCAGGAGAATAAAGATAATCGAAAATCTTATACGCAAAAACGCCAAAACAATGCGCCACAAAAGACGATAAAATAATACTATGACGGCACCAAAAAAATAGAAGGAAAGAGATAAAGAATGACTTAATGGTCAGAAAACCAGTTTCATAGGATACTGGAATGACAGAGTGAATAATAATACCAATAATAAGGCGATGAAACACTTGGACTGGCTACAAACAGCGACTGTCCCTGCCCCCCCACCCCCCTAAGAACTTTATGCTTGACTGAGTGGTGAAAATAAGAAGACAAAGATCGGTCTGTGACTATAAGGAAGACACTTTATTTGACAAAGAATATTATTTATACACAGATTTCATGAATATATAAAAACCCTAGGTCAAAAGTTGGCTATTTATTTTGATTGGTCAACTGTAGGATAAAACTGTCCAATAAGATTTCTCTTGACCACAAAGTAATATGAAATAAAGGTTGATATGCAAAATTTTTACCTAAGCCGTTGATGGCTCAAGATGTTGATATCCATTCAAGCAGCTTTCTATCCGATACATTCAAATAGGCATTTACTACCTTTATATTGCTTTTTAAAACTAGTACATAAAAAGAAATCATAGCACGACGGGAAATTGCTTTAAATTCCAATCATATCTGATATCTTCAGAAACTTAGTTGGATCCTACCTAGAGACGTTTTGCTGCACCAACAGAAAAATCCCTTATTCCACGGCGCAACATCATAAACTGACCACAGCTCTGTTTCTTTTAGTCAGCTAACTATAGGGATAACGACATCTTATTTGAGGGAACTCATGCTTAGGTGCAAGTTAAATCTCAGGCTCATTTTCGACAATGAGAGATGGTGTCGCAAGGGGACCCCCACTAGGTCCAATGTTAGCCGTTTTTTTTCCTAGCAAGCCTGGAAATTAATACTCTGGGGCAAATTACTGGGAAGCTAAATCTCTACAAGAGATATATAGACGATACATTTATCATCTTTGATAATACCTGTGATTTGTAAAACATGTTGAAAACGTTTAATAATTGGAATTCATCAAGTAAGTTCACCACTGAAGAAAAAATGGACTCTAAAGTTGTATTTCTTGATGTGCTAATAACAAGACCTGATGGATCTCTGAATAAATCAATCTACGGTGGTACAGCTTTTGAAAATAAAATCGTCACAAAGAAAATTTCTTTTCTTTGCTGAAATCTTTGATTTCTGTCTTAATTTCATTACTCAATCGATTAAGTTCATGAGTTCAAAGCCCGCTCTACAAACAGTGTCTTGGTGAAAAAGATTGTATCATTAGCTCTTGTAAAATAGATGTAGCTCATTATTTGACTACTAATTAGCAATGAACAACACCATATTAAATCACATTAATGGCCATCTAGTCAAATGATAGGTCTATAGAACTCCTGAAAAGAAGTTGAGATTTGCGATAATAATAATAATAATCTAACACAAGCAGACACATTGTGTATTACTGGGAGAGAAGTCAAACGTATACCGGCTGTTGACTGACCTAACGATGCGTAGAAGATGAGGCTAGAAAACACTGGACACAAAGATGATACTGCTACATATTTATTCTATCGACTTTACAAAAGTGAGCTGAAATCGATATTCTATAATTCTTCTGACCTTTTTCCGACCTTTCATATCAATACGAAAACAAGTTGATGCCTTGCAGTGAAGTCGTTGACTGGTGACTTAGACAACTGACTTTCAACCACTAGAGAATAAGGTTTAAATCCTGTTTCACCTATCACAGTTGGGATAACTATTGACTTTCATCAATTAGGCATTACTCAAAGACTAATACACAAACTTCTACACAACCACCAAGCTACTTTACTTATTTACCAATGTCAAGCACTCACTTAACTAAATAACTGAGAAAATCAATGTCGAACCTCGCAAACAAGGGCATCGGCTCACTCACAGTAATACACAAAGAACTAGTAGATGGAAAAAGACTGATATTAAAGTACACAAAGTTATGTGGGAAAATAAACAGTCTGAAGATAGTGAAAATATTCAAGCTTTAGAAGACATCAGAAGGAATACATCAGGGTAACTGTGACCGATCACGAATTGAATGAAGTTGAAGTGGGGTCATAACCGATTCTTATATGCCGGCTACTACTTCAGTCATCCTGACGTACAATCTACGATCACTTTCACCCAGTAGATCTGGTGTCAGTCTATCAGAAGGAACTACCCTTCCTTGTCCCATACCATATACAGCTAGGGTTGGTGACTCTATATGAATGTATCATTCAGGTTAGGATTCCATAGTGGGCAATTTAAGAGCAGCTGAAGAACATTTGAACTTTTCTTCCAAGTGTTTTCCCATCATTACAGTCGTCTACTCTCAGAGTGAATAAGTGACCCATCTTTCCCTGTAGTTTCACCAACCATCAACGTCTTCATCCATTTGCTTGATAGATCTATGCAAGAGACTACTACTGCCTTCTCCATCTCTAACCTTCCCTGCCCGCCATTACTCAGAGTTGCTGTGTAAACACTTTTTTGTATCCGTGGCTAGTTGTTGGAGCCTGCAGTAATCTTTTCACTCATATCCATTAGTTCGGAAGAAACTGATGGAACCCACTGATTCGTTTTATCTACTCTGAGAGTCAGTGACGATCTTTTGGATTATTTTAACAGCAGACTACAATTGGCACTAGGTTTCTGTGGGATTAGTAGCCTTGTTATGCTCTAACTGAGGGGTGTAAAAAAACTTAGGAAACTCAAGGATTGGATTGGTTGACAACCCTGACCCCTCTTACTTGAAATTCACTTCACCTGAAGGTGAAAGTGGATTAGTTTTGCGTGAACACAAGGCTCAAAGAATATCTGTCTGACGTCAATCACAGTTCTTGGGTGTTGGCTATTCCGTGAATAGCCTTTCCGTGTAAGACGAACAGCTGTCCTTCATTTAGAGACAATACGACTGCAATATTATTCTGATACATCTGCCAATTCATGAGTAAAGTCATATCTCAGATCCTGATCGCAGCGTGTCTTGCCACTTTCTGTCATGAAACCACCTTAGAAAATATTCATATCAGCCGACATAGGTCGTTCAGTTAACGTAATATGCAAGTGTAACTACTACGTTAAGATAACAGTTGTTAAGGTTAGTTTGACTGACTGACAAAATCAATGCAGAACCTCAGCTAACTCACAGTAATACACAAACGATAAGTGAATAGAAAAAGACTGACATCAAAGTACACAAAGTTATGTGAGGAAATAAACAGTCTGAAGATATCGGTTAGTGAAAATACTCAAGCTTCAAATGTCAAGGAGTGAACATATCTGCACCAATGTGACCAAAATTCAGCCATATTACCAAGAGCCACCAAACACTAATTCCTGTCGTCTCGCCGACCACAACCACAAAGTCTACATCGCCTCCACACCACTCAGACTAATAATAACAGACTTCATCAATTGGTGTCATATCTCCATCTGGACACTCAACCCTCTTACAACTTAATCCAACTTCCAACAGCATCCCACATCTAGATAGGTGGTGGCTCAGTATGTGCAGCTCATGTCCAAGCAATCTCAGTCGACTAAGGTTCATAACCTCATCAATCGACTTACCTGTCTTACTAGTACCCTCCCCCTGACCTCAACATTGCTCACACGGTAATCCCACAGAAAGTGAGCATTACTAAAAAGACACTAACTGACTTGGTTCGTAATTATCTACTCAGATAAAGACAGTCGATTTCATTTGACTAACTAACCGAAAGGCAACTAGAATATTTTAGTACTTCCTTCCACAAAATGATAGTAGTTCAAAACTTCAAACGAACATACAATCTGCATTTAAAAGAGAAGTTAACGACTTTTTTCTCCACTATGTTACTAATGAAAAATGTTATGTTCGATTTTTTCGAATAACCTAATGAGATAACTACGCGCCAATTCTTTACTTTCGGGTATCTTCACTATGCAGACTATTCTTTCGATTACGTAATACCTTCTCACTTCTGTTCTACAACTATTTTCGCCACTCGGTTGACGTTCACTTCTGACCACATATACCCATCTCCAACACCCTTATTCTTTGTACTAAATATTCACTATTAACTTGTCATAAAAATTAACTCACTGAAGAGCTACACTTCTCTTCATTAAAAACTGTCCTCCGTATACTTTGTTAAAATGTTCAAAGAAAGTGAAATCATCTATCAGTGCGTAGAAAATCCATGATTCAAACGTTTTAATACAAAAAAATAGGAATGAAGAAAGCATTTACCATGAATATCGATTACATCATGCTTTATCCAGTTATTAAATCCAATAACTCCATCGAAATCAAGCTTATCAATCTCATTCTTTATATAATTCCGTAAGTCTGCATCCTCTGGAATTGGATTTCCAGATTTGGAAATATTATTACAGTTATTATAATCCGTTGTTGGCATAAAATTTGGCAGAAAATGGGTATACAATTTTAACAATAAATGACTTAAACATAATGTGATATTGAATGTTTTAGATAGACTTATCGATTCCTGCATTGTTTCCAGTGATTGCTCAAATCGTGTTAATCGTTTTAAGAATAATGATGACGAGTTGATGAATGGATTAAACCGTTGTATTAAATTAATGAACATCGGTTGACTTGACAAACTGGGATCAAGTAGTTCAGGAAATCCACAGACTAAAAATGGAGAAGATTATATACATATAGAAATTTAGAGATTTGTGAAATACCATATGAGTCTCACGAAGTATATATGAGATGCGTTCATAATTCCCAATGTGACATTAAAAACAAGATATTCAGCGAAGAGAACTCTTTTCAACGAATTTATTCTCAAGCTGTACATTCGTATGTATATGATATTTGAATACTGTAGTCCGTGAGGAAGATTTAACTTAAATAAATAGGGCTTGAAACAATAATAATGGTGGTTATAATTATCATGTCGCCAGTTCATGATGTAAAGGTGGGATGATAACAAAAAGGGGTTACGTAAGATTTTCAAATCGTTTATAAGGTGCATATAGCAAATATAGCTCCTATTCTGCGTTTTTATGGTTACCGACATATTAATGAAACTAACAATGATATTAAACGCAATATAGGTATGACTATTAGTTCTCAACCATTATCAATCCGTATAAGAAAATTCTTACAGTAATTGTTTACTGATTACATCTCATAATTAAATATTACTACTCAGAACGATGTAAACATCAACAGTTTCAGAGGAAGATTTTAATTCTGACAGCTACTTTTAATATAAATGAAAAACTTGGGCACTGTGGTAGAATGTAATTCCATATTAGACTTGTTTATTTGATATAAAGCGCACAGTGATACAGTATTATTTACTTGATTACGTTTCTAGCATAAATTACTGCTCATAATCATATCAATATGATATGATTGATATGATTATGAGCAATAATTTATGCTCGAAACGTAATCAAGCAAATAATACTGTATCACTGACAGCTACTTTTCTTTTACTGAATGTTACGCAATAATACCATAACTATATATCTTAATCGAACAAATATTCTTGCACAAACTAAACGGAGGTAGGAAAACGAAAATTGTGGAATTTGAAGGATGAGGCTAAATAAGTCAGTGAGTGGATAATAAGCAGAAAACAAAATATCATAGAACAGAATAGGCAGAACTAAGTAGATTAAGATTAGGATTTACTGTCAAGTGAAAATCCAATGACAAGAAAGTGATGTTATCAAATCAGTGAAAGGTTAAGAATGTAGGTTACTAAGGGAGTTAAACGTTGTCGATAGGTCCCTTTTAAACTTATAAATCTCATTTTAGGCGTTTGTTTGCAATATCTCCACTAGAGCGAATAAGATTTGAATTATTTAGTTTTTTCTGTACATTCATAAATTCCCATTGTGACCCTAAAAACAAGATATTCAGCTAAGAGGACTCTTTTATCCTCAAGCTGTACATCCATATATATATATATATATATATATATATATATATATATATATATATATATATATATATATATAGACTGTAATCCGTGAGGAAGATTTAACCTAAATAATGGGGGGTTGAAGTAATAATAATGGTGGTTATAGTATAATTGCTTGTATTATACCGTCGTTGACTGGACCAAAATGATCGGTCTCTATTGGCATATGGGGTCCTATGCGGATGCCCTCATATTGCCTGTGTTCTTAATTATGTATAGTAATGATGTATAGTGGCTAGCAGTGGAATCCAGGATGCGCATTTCATCCCATTTGGGGCTAGTTAGCTGGATATACCTGCCTCCCAGTGGGTGTTTATAGTTAAATTAATGTTACTAGTTCATGACGTAAAGGTTGAATGACAATAAGAAGGGGTTACGTAAGATTTCTGAATCGTTTATAAAGTGGATACAGATTGAAAAGTGGTGAAAAAGTGGTAGAGTTAAAAAATTATCAAAGGACTAGGTAATATGAGTGAAACAAGTTAACTGAAAAAAACTGGAAATGTTTTGTTTAAAGTTGCGGTTATTAGGAAGATCAAATGAAATAACACCTGAAACAAGTAAATATAAAAGTAAAGTGATAATGAAGATACAAGAGTACAAAGAATAATCTAACAAAAAGGGATGAAAGATGCAAAACCAAGAAGGAATGAAGTACACCAAGACCGGAATAAGTTAAGGCCAAGGTAGAGACAAGGACTGTACATACTTCTTTTGCACACATATGTTAGGCAGGCTTCCCTTCATGGATAACCAGGGCCTCTGCTGTTTTCAGGAGCGGAATACGGAGGAAACGTGAGATGTTTGAGCGAATTCAATTATTACTATTATTATTTCGCCCATGAGTTCCCATTGGAAAATACCGCTTCAGTAGCACACCTCCATTCCACTCGCTTCTCTGCAATCTTTTGAATCTGGCTACACGACAGCCAAGAACCTTTCATTTCTTCTTCACACGATCTCCTCCATGTCACCGTCCAACACCCTCCCCCAATTCGCCGTTCCCATCTGGATTCCTCTCGAGTGCCTGAGGCGAGATGTCCCCGAACGTCTTCTCACTGCATGCCCAATCAATCTCCACTTCCTTCAAGTGCATATTTGTTGAGCGATAGGTTCTTGGTTCGTTCGTTACCCGGTCAGAGTTCCTTGTTGCTTATTCTTTCTGGCCATCCATCTGAGCTTCAGTAACGAGCCAGTGTAGGCAGTTGTTGATGAATCTCTGTAGTTTCTTGTAAATCCCTTTCGTAACGCGCCAAGTCTCTCAACCATCACACAGAAGCACTGACTCACTCGACTGAATTAGTCTTGAAAATCCTGATCTTGTTCACGCCTTATGTTGAGTGCAGAAGATCTCCACACTAGTTTCAGGTTAATGAACGCCAGTCTTGCTGTCTTCCCGATCCTGGCTAGTTTTGACGTCCTCGTCTGTGCCTGTGCCGCCTGTAGTTGAAACGGTGCTGCATAGATAGGTGAAGGAGGCTACTTCATTTAGGTTTCTCCCGTTGATGGTGATTGGGCTTGTTGTACTTGGTGGTGGTGGGGTTGGTTGGTTGGGTATCTTCATCACCTCTGTCTTCTCTACATTCACTTGAAGCAAGTCCCGTCTTCGCTGCCTTGCCTCTTCTGTCAACTTGTCGGATTTTGCCTGTAGATCTTCAAGTTTGTGCGACATTAGACACAAGTCATCACTGGCGAAATCCAAATCTTCTAGGATCTTTCCCCGGTCCAGTGTATGCCCATCTTCTCGCTTCTCACGGTTTCCTGCATGATACAGTCCACCACAATCAGGAAGATCATTGGTGGTGATAGTAGGCAGCATTGTCTTACTCCTGTTTTCACTTCAAAGGCATCACTGACCTTCCCACTGTGAATTACTTGGCATGTGGTGTCTTCGTATAGCGTATGGCTGATGAATGAGGTTGATAAAGGTTTGTGGTATTCCGTAGTATTGCTGCAGTTGCCATATTACTTCTCGGCCGACGCTGTTGAAGTGGAGGCGTTTTCGAAGCCCGCGAAGCTGAGGTAGATTCGAGTTGACTGCCATTCTATGCTCTGTTCCGTGATGGTGCTCAGCGTAGCGTTGCAATTTGGTCCACACATGATTTGTACTTCCTGAAGCTGGCCAGTCAGCCTGTTCCGGTGGTAGTTTTGAATCCAGTGCATCATTCAGTCTCTCCACGATGATGCGGCATAATATTTTGCTTACTCTGGGTGGACAGTAGCATGATTCCTCTCCAGTTGTTGTTCTTGCAAAGACTTTGGTCTCCCTCCTTCGGGAGTTTGATAAGGTAGGTTGTATTCTTCCAATCAATAGGCAGGTACCTTCCCTTCATTCCTTCATTGCAAACCTTCTGCAGTAGTAGTGTGAGCATATCTGCTGTTGTCTGTGCGTCTGTTCTCAGTGCTTCTGGTGGGATTCTATCTGGTCCTGCTGCTTTCCCGCATTTCAGTAGCCTTATGGCATTCAGGACTTCGACGTTCGTTGGAGGGCTTGTGTTCGTTGGTAGTTCTGTGGCTGGGCTGCAAGTGGTATTTCTGGATGAAGTGCAAGTGCAGGTGGTGGTTGATTCATGAGCTTTTTGAAGTGGTCAGCTCATCGTCTCATTTCTTTCTCTTCTTTGGTGACTAACTTTCCTTCACCATCTTTCATTGGTCTCATCTGCATTGATCTCTCTCCTCCCAGATAGTAATCTGGTTATTTGATACAATGTTGTCAGGTCTCTATCTCTACTACCTGCAGCCTGTTCTGCTTCAGTTGGAAGTGTGTCGTGGAAGTGTGGTTTGTCTTTGAGCGCGCTCTCATTCACTTCTTTGTCCAGGGTAGTGTTTTGTAGGTTGTGTTCAGTTCCTCTTTTCGTTGTTCATCCCTGAACTGAACTGCACTGCACTACACTCGTTCATCTTCTGCTTCACCATCACCATCTTCCTCTACCTCCTCTATCAGCTTCATGTGTCCGTCAAGATCCATCCGTTATCTTCTTTCTTCTTCCTTCCTAATACGGTTGCGCAGGTTTCTTTCCACATAGCCTTTAAAGAGTTCCAGTGCTCATCCACAGAGGTTTCTTCAGGAATGCTGCATTTGTCTTGATGGATGGCGTGAAGATGTCCTTTGTAGTTTTGTCTTTCAGTTTCCGGGTGTGGTCTATCACCAACTTCCTTGAAGGCTTTCAACTTGATTTAGAAGGTTCCTTGCACTAGATACTAGATAGATAGTGGTCTGAGCCTACATCTGCTCGCCTTCTTGACCTTGTGCCAAGTAGGCTGGCTGCGTCTCCACTTTCTTCACATTGAGATGAAGTCGATCCGATTTTTAGTGTGTCCATCTGGTGAAATCCATGTCACTTTGTGGATATCCTTGTGCTTGAACACAGTGCTTCCAATTACCAAATCATTGAATGCGCAGAATTCTGCAACAGTTCTCCATTCTCGTTCATTTCACTAAGCACTTCTCGGCCCATGGTTAGTTCTCTTGATGTCGCCAACTGAGGTCTTGTCAAGTGTTGATTGCAGTTGTCTGTAGAATTTCTGCTTCTTCTCTTCATCTGCATTATTTGTGGAAGCATAGCGTAACACTGAATGGTCATGACTTTACTTCCTTTTGATTTGAATCTTGCTGTCATGATGCTGCATGAGGAGACTCGTTCCCACTGTATGAGGGCCTTTGATGCTCTCGAGGACATCATGATAGCCATTCCCTCCGTGTGCTCGCGCTTGCCGTCTGGGTGACAATATCGGAGTAGATTATTGACTCTCCAGTTGAAAGTTTGGAGAGTCCACTTCCATTCCATCTGCTTTCGCAAATTCCTAACACTTCTATGCAATGCCTTCTCATCACCTTTGCAATCTGGGCAGCCTTGCTAGGTTAAAACATAGTGCGGGCATTTTATGTCCCCACATTACTTTCGCTTTCATGCTGAGAAGAGAAGACACATTGGCCAATTGGCTTCCGGAAGGCTTCCACCAAGCGGCGTCATTTCGCCTCTCCGATTCCAGCGAGGAATAATTTTGTTTTTATTTTTTATATTTTGTTTGTGCTTTGAAGTTTGCTTAGCGGTTGGGTAGGGTTGCTAGCCCTATGCTTAACCTTCCCTTTTTACTCGGGCTTAGGACTGGGTAGTAACTAGTGAACTAGTTAACCAGGCGAGGTTTGAGCGAATTCAATAGACAACCTTAAAATCCTTGTTTGGGTCTGTTGGATGGTTGGAATCGATTAAACGTTCAAGGATAGAATATCTGATGCATTTCCGTTATAAAATCAGGCAGGAATATGTCCTCGTATACACGTGTTGCTTGTAGTCTCTGACTACGGCCGATGTACATTGCTCGATAGGAACAGGTGAACTGGTAGATACACATGGATGTGGCTTGTCGAGGGAGAGAACAATTTACGACTGGTAAAAATCAAGTTAAGTTTGGTTGAGAAAAAAGTCCTGCTAGTTGATATGGAAAGATGATTTTTCAGGATATCTGGTGCTGCATCACCTTTGAAGTCGAGATTCATGAACAAAGTCTTATTAGAAACTGAGCTGGTGACTGGTTTCCCATGTTTTTATCGCATACTCTTATCGATAAGTCTTGCGCAACCCTCTTTGTTATCATTCAATCTTTACGTCATTAACTAACAAGATTATTATAACTATAACCACCATTATTATTACTTCAACCCCTCATTATTTAAGTTAAATCTTCCTCACGGATTACAGTCTTTAAATATTATATATATATATATATATATATATATATATATATATATATACGAATGTACAGCTTGAGAATAAATTCGTTGAAAAGAGTTCTCTTCGCTGAATATCTTGTTTCTGATATATGAGATGACCGATGTCACTCAACACTACCCATATAAAAAATTGGTTGCAGTCGATCCAACTGTATAACTTTATGGTTGATAGTCGAGTGTTAAGGTAACCCATAAAATAATTCTCAAGTGTTAAAATCAGTTCTAGTTTAAACAGAAGCCAAAAATTACGAAAATGAAATCTCAAATAATTTACTTTTGAATGGTGAAACATACCATAATACTAGCGAAGGTAGCTTACACAAATCCCGATAAAACAACAGGATAAAAATAACTTCAAATTAGTTTTTACCAATGATCACTATTAGCTAACAGATCACAGAAAACATGAGAGTATTGAGCAACTGCTTTGTACAGCCTTATGACACTTCAGTGGTGTATATTAACAACCTTATGTGTGGAGTCAACCCCAATACCATCATGTTACTAGTCAACGGTTAACGGTTTTCCACAATTTCTGTCAATTTACACCAAGATCATCCATTTTCACTCTGGATCTATTAAAACTTCAGGAGACAGACGAGAATATTGACAGAAACTAGTAACCTTAAATGATGACTGTGCGATATCCCAAGTTGACAGAAGCTGAAAGACGTACATCCCCGGAATCACCGACAGAAAAGTAACAATCTTGCTGCAAGCAAAGTACTATTAATATCATTATCAGCTAGTAAAAATGTCCCAAAGTTAATACATAAAAATACAAGTGTGCATACGCTTCGATAAACTCACAGAAGAAAAACTCAATTTCCAAGCGGAAACTAGCTTCAAGAGCATATAAATTGCATGGATCCATTTCAAGAACAAATTCGCACATATCATTAAATGTTGAGCATCCAAGTGGTAACTGTAAGAGGCAAAAAAAGAAAATTTCTTGTGAACTGAAATAAATGGAATAAATTTAAGCACTTCTTAACAAAACCGTTAATTCTTGAATGAATAAACAAAACGAAAGTATATTCCTCAATCATAAAAAATTCAAGTAACAGTTCACTATCACATCACTTACTTTCATAACTTGACCAAAAGATTTCACTAGATACACAAATTAGCGTATAAAAGTGGAGAGTTAGAAATGACTACACTACGTGAAATGGGGAATATTTATAGCTTAAGTGGATGACCTTGGTTGTATTGTGTTCTCTGAGCTGAGTTGTTTAATCATGGAACTTTCATCGTCTTTCTAGACGACATCAACTGCAATAATTGTGGTCAACGTTGCATTGAAACAAATGGTCGCCCTTCTTCGCCTTCGTTTACATAAACACCAATTGACCATTAAACATCACAACATTTCATCACTCATCTCAATGCATGTGGATAACCATGGATATGCATTCAATTTTGACAATGTAGAAAACTTGGATAGAGGAAATACAAAGAATTTCAGAGAATTCCTAGGCGCTTAGCATCCAGACCACTCAGCAATTAATAGATGCATAGACATAGACCCAATCCATCAACCAATAAGAAAGATGATAAACGACAAAAAGGTCACAGGTCAAGCAAAGGAACAGCCAACAGGAAAATCTATGCAGTCAATGACACAACAATCGGAGACAACCAATCATAGACCGCTTCGTCAAGGCAAGCTACTAAATCACTCACGGAGAGATATTGACAGCTCACTTCATACTGAAGTTAGTGCTGATGATGTCGTCTAGAAAGATGATGGAAGCCTCACGATTAAGCAACCCAGCTAAGAGAACACAATATAACTAAGACTATAGTATGTGACTACAACCCCTTATAACCAAGAAAGTTTACATCTGAACATCGTTACCAAAATTGACTACTCAAAAATACATGCCTGTGAACTACACTTAGGAAGTTAGCAAAAATAAAAATAATAATCCCTTTATTCCAAATAGTGTGTTTTAAGCAAAGTGGAATTCTCAGCAGGTTCACTACCAGAACAATATATTCAAACGAGATGATTACAGGATCGAAGTGGTGTTAATAATAGCACTATTACAGGCAATATTATTGAACAGCCAGCTGATGTTGGATTCGCTTCTGATCCAGAATGCACGATTTACAAAAAATGTCACCTAAGTTTGGCGGTGACGGTTCATTCAGTCAATACAAGAATCTGCCAGACGAGCAATGTCAAACTTGACTTTTTTTTCTTCGTTTAGTTATCTACTCGAGAAACGGTTAGGTGAAAACATTTTAAAACTGTGCAAAAGTATGTGGCAAGTATAGAAAATTTAGTTAAATGATCAAAACAAATGGTGAGAGTAAAGAATTTGACGTATATGTTAGCTGTAAAATTTTAGTACCCAACTGTTCAACCAGGCCTCCAGATGAGAATAAGACTTGAGCACTATGTAAGAATGTTATTTCATTTTAGTTGATTTATTAGATTTATCACACAGTGGAACAGTACTGTTTACTGGATTACGTTCCAGACATAATTTATTGTCCAAAGTCATATAAAGATAACTACACAACCTTGAGACATACTAATTTCTTCGCCACCTTTGTGATATGAGTAGTAGGATTTCCCATATATCCAAAACAGGTGTTGGGTCATTCCTGCTGCATGTATTAGGTGTTGATTCGATAAACAAAGATACCGTTATCCATCTCTCCATCCGCCCTACTGGGTTCATCATCATCAAAATCAACATAGGATCAGGCATTACTGCGTAACGGTTCAAGTTACCACACCTCAAGTCAAAACGTCAAGTAGCGAGGCTATAAAATGGAAGATGGAGAAAGAAAGAAGAGTCGGTCGAAAGAAGCAAAAAGTAGTAAAACGGAGGGAGGAAGAGTAAGAAATTGATGAGTATAGCGGCTAAGATGAGGATAATCAATCTCTCCATAAATTCCACTAGGTTAGTTTTCAGGATTTTCACTCTGTTCCATCCCATTGTGTAGTTGCATGCATAGCTAAGGCTGAGCTTTTTTCTGAATTCTACCAATTCCGGCCTACCTAGGTTTTTGTGTTCGAATAGCCTAATTGACTCAGCCTGACTATTTTAACCCACGTATCTGACCTTATAATCATTCCAGACTATTTAGATCAATAAGATCCCTAAAGTGACAAAGCTTATTTCTAAGGGAGTTTGTAGGCTTAGATGCCATAGCTAAGCATGCAATTACAAGCAACCAGAGAATAAGATGAGATAGTGTGAAAATCCTGAAAACTAACCTAGTAGCGTGAAGAGAGAGATGGATAACGGTATCTTTGTTTATCGAATCAACACCTAATACATGCAGCAGGAATGACCCAACACCTGTTTTGGATATATGGGAAATCCTACTACTCATATCACAAAGGTGGCGAAGAAATTAGTATGTCTCAAGGTTGTGTAGTTATCTTATATGACTTTGGACAATAAATTATGTCTGGAACGTAATCCAGTAAACAGTACTGTTCCACTGTGTGATAAATCTAATAAATCAACTAAAACAGAATTACATTTCAGAAGAAAAAAGAAATACATCGTGGTTTACGCCATTCAGCCTGTAAGTAGTAGTCAGTATTCAGTTCATCTGTTCCATGTAAATAGTAATGCATTGTAGCAACGAGTTACGGTGCATCTCTTGCTGCTTATACTGAGCCAAGTCCCTGTGACGTACGATACTACGACAAAAATACCTTTAAAGGTCCTAACAGCAACAAGGTTGTAACATAGACAGACAGAAAGAAAGACATTCAACGTAAAACCTCTCAAACAAAAACACTGGCTCACTCAAGTTGTCACACTTCACAGTAATACACAAACGATAAGTGAATAGAAAAGACTGACATCAAAGTACACAAAGTTATGTGAGGAAATAAACAGTCTGAAGATATCGGTTAGTGAAAATACTCAAGCTTCAAATGTCAAGGAGTGAACATATCTGCACCAATGCGACCAAAATTCAGCCATATTACCAAGAGCCACCAAACACTAATTCCTGTCGTCTCGCCGACCACAACCACAAAGTCTACATCGCCTCCACACCACTCAGACTAATAATAACAGACTTCATCAATTGGTGTCATATCTCCATCTGGACACTCAACCCTCTTACAACTTAATCCAACTTCCAACAGCATCCCACATCTAGATAGGTGGTGGCTCAGTATGTGCAGCTCATGTCCAAGCAATCTCAGTCGACTAAGGTTCATAACCTCATCAATCGACTTACCTGTCTTACTAGTACCCTCCCCCTGACCTCAACATTGCTCACACGGTGATCCCACAGAAAGTGAGCATTACTAAAAAGGTACCTATGATCAAAACCTTGTAACCACATCATGTCTTCTACTGTCAACAACCATGTCTCATGGCCGTTTAACAGAACATAATGAACTGCAGCGCAGTATACTCGTCCATCGATAGATAGTCGGATATCTCGCAAGTCAGCAACACAGATGACGCAAGTTGGCAAATGCCAAACGGACATTCTGTATCCGAGCTGAGATTTCGTTAACAACCATCCCATTGAAGGCTATTTCTTCTTAGGACACCTGGAAGAGAAAAAGATTTGTGACCACGGAATCCATGTAACGCCTGCTTGACGCCTGTCACACACAACCTTTTGCGGGTTTCTGTTATGGGGGTTCTTATGCTGGATAGAGAAAACCCATACTAACGGCACAGGAAGACCATCGGGCAGGGAGAAACATCATCTTATCAGGAAATGAAAGCATCATATGAAGTCACAACTAACGTAAGGAAAGCAAAAATAATAATACATGAATGCAATGTTTTGACATGCATCTTAAAGATTATAGGACGTATAAAAAGGGTCAACACTTTCAAATATTTCAAGTTCCACCACACATAATCATAAGTTCTTAACAATTCCTGTGGCTTTTTATCAGTTTGATTATCTGTGATGAGTTGGCAGGCTTGTATTAATACTGACGATTGAAGCCGCTAGTTCGACTCCTGCCGCTGTCCAGACTTTCTTTTCACTTTCAATCATCACGCAGTATGAATACAAGTCTACCAAACCATGATTATTTCAGATAGTTGAAATGTAAATCCATATGATGCTTCTCCTCCCCTCTAATTCAGTTAGGTTCCGATTGGAATGAGAAGTCCTGACTAGCCAGTCAGTGTGAGTACGACCAAGCGATAGTAATACATTACAAATTCACATGGCAGTCGAGCAAAATCCTTCGTGATTGAAGTGAAATAAAAATCAGGTTAGCAGTCGGGTCTCGTAGCTCAGTACCGGGCCCGAAACCCGATGACCCCTAATTAGAATCCTGCCCCGGGCCAAATTCTCATTCCACCTTTAACCATCATGCAGTATCAATCTCTATAATGTTTTGAAGGGTGAATTCGAATTGACACCAGTTGAAAGTGAACAGAAAAATTTCAACAGATTTGTAAGACATGCACCAGTATGCTCCAACACTGTTGGGATGTATTTATTTTAGCATCCCATAACTTTCCTTTACATATAAAGATAAAACAATACATCAAACATTAGCTCCGCGGATAAAATTGAATTTATGGTAACTTTATATACTTACTGGTAGTCGAGACTGAACTACAGTTTTTATAAACGTTTTCGTATAGTCTAGATATTTCTCGGACGAATCCAAACTAAAAACAAATAAAAGAGGGAAAATGAATGGTTATTGACATAGAATGTTATGTTGAAATGGTAGTATAAGGCGCTTCTGGAAACTATCAAGGCACACACACACACACATACACACACACATTTGCCGTTAATAAACGAACAAAACTTCGCCATAATACTAGATTGTAATTCACTTTTAGCTTGGTTATCAAATGTATCACACAGTGAAAATCGAGTAAATGATACAGTTTCACTGACACATCAAATAAAGTAGACCACATACTTGTTACGTGAAAACAAAAGAGGAATACGACTTACACCGAGAATTTTTCAATCAGTCTTGCACAAACTCTCAAGAGGACATCACCGTTCTTGTCTGAGTTTTTCTTGAGTTCATTGTAAATACCCTGAAAATAGATGAAACATTGAAAGGACAAACTTTTAATTCACTAACCATATAGTTCGAGAATCTCTTCTTCAAACACGTAGTCAGCCACGCAAATAGTTCATAAAGAACCTAGTTGAGTAGGATTCATTTTAATCGTATCGTGACTAATTTAAATTCATTTAATTGCTAACACTGTAGGAGTGGATGGTGGATAATTTGGACAAGCATGATTCCACTTTATGTAACAGTAATACAATTTTACTAAATGCATGATGTTTTGAGCACGTAATAGATGACACTGTATCACCATCACATAAAGCACCATGGCCATAAAATAAACGTACACCTGCTAAAAACGAACGTTTTACTGTTTAAACACCGTTTCCGCGATAAAGACCCATTTGAATGCATCACAACATCTTGACTTAACCTACTCGTATCGAATGCGAGGTATCTGTGTCCTCGTGTAGACTTTTGAAGGAACCACATAGTTCGGTCTATATATTCGCACCACAAAACAAGGTAGGGAGGTAACGGTCTACATCATTACAGTGAAAACAGAAAGAATGAAGTGAATTATATGATCAAAGAAACAACTACAAGTGAAGCCCTTTTACAGTTTGCTGATGTACGATCTACATTTGTAAAGATATACAACTCATCATATTTCCACGGGCTCGTATGCAACAATATTAAATAACACTATCTCACTGTGTGAAATATCCAACAATTGCACAAGTTCTACTCTTACATTAATAGAATACAAACTGTGCATATTGTGGGCGATCCTGACAGTATCCTCATTTTTTCCTCCACCTTATCTTGTCCGGACTGCACCAAATTCAGTATCGCTTTTCTGATAATTTATAAGGCTAAAGATAACTAAAGGGTGAACGAATATCACTGAATGAAATGTGTCCGGATCCACGACTAACTAGTTGCAAGTTGCCCAAACCAGTAAGACACAATTTTAGGTCACACATAATGATCACAGCACAATCATTGATTATTCGCAAGCGATTTTAAAGTAAATGCCTCTAAAATGATAGTGATTTACTTCCCCTTAACCCAATGAAAACATTTCTAAATAAAATTTCAAGTAATTTATTTACTCGATATAGGTATGTTTGATATGCACTTGATATGCACACTTGACGAATGTAAGATGACGCTTTAGGACTGGTTTGGAGCTACTTTTAGCTTGAGAATAGAAGGTGAAATGGTAGATCCCATGGATTACTTCACTTGCTTGCGGAGTTGCATCACGTCTGGTAGAATCACCGTGTCAGCAATGTGACAGGCGAAAGGTTCCAGGTAAGAAAGCCAAGTCAATAGATGGGGTTGTGAACCTTTATCGACTGAGGTGGCTTGGACATATTTTGCACATCCTGAGTTATCGGCCACCTCAGTGTGCAATCTTAGCCAAGGTCGGAGTCGGTTGGAAGAAGGCTCATGATGGTCAAACCGATATGTAGCACCAATCCATGAAGTCCCTGACTGTTGTTCTGAACCAAGTACGGAGGTGTAGACTACTTAGTTGGGGTCCTGGAGACGATGGAAATCAATGGTTGGAGAACTTCGGTGGCATGGATGAAAAACGATCACAATTGCGCATGTGTTCACTCTTTGATGTCTTTTAAAGCTTGCATACGCACTAATCTTGATTTTGAAACTCCTCGTTCCATATACCTTTGCTTTGATATCAGCTTTTTTATATCCACTTCTTTTGCATGCTACTGAGAAGTGTGGCATTTTGAACCGATGCAGTTCTGTGCAAGGTTCCAAGTCGATTTTATCTGTCTGTCTATGGGATTTTGCACTAGGCTATAAGCCTCACCTTATGCATGTGGGCTAGTGATACCAGTTAGTTGCCCAAGCTGAAGTACGTGGGGAGGAATCTAAACTTGAAACTCATTGAATTAAATCCAAACACTTACGTCAATGGCATACAGCTCCGTAGGTATGAGAGACTTAAAAATACTCAGATAATAGACAAGTGAATATTATGTCAAGCTTATTCGGTGGACGAATAACTAAGACTATGATTTTGAGCCTACTCTTAGGTAAATGTTAAATCAGACTAGACCAAATTAGGTCTACAAGTGAGAAAAATGTGGTAACATCAGCAAAAGGTTCCCAGTAGAAAATGCTGTTGAGTGGTATGAAGACGGAACACTTCCCCCCACCTTTGCAGAAAGTAATGAATTGGACACATGTAAACACGTTTAATCCATGCATTTTACTTTCAACCCTGATTCTAAATATGAAAGAGATAGAAATAAACAATATTTTGAAGTCAACCTATTGATAGGATGACTAGAAGCTAATGAGACTTGGCAACATAATACAACTACATAAAGGCGAGTTGCATTCAGTGCGAGAAGGCTTAAAATATTATCCAGCAACATGGGTTAAAATAGGTACAGCTTTAAGATATTTGTCCTCCACGATTAAAAAATTACTGGAATAGACTGAGTTCAGAAACATAAGTAGCTGGATTAGTTTAGCTTAATCTAGATGAACCTCAGGTTTTAAATTTACTACATACTAACCTGTGGATGACATAGTCCTTCAAAATGAATTCCATTCATCAACCTTGTGCAAGTTCGGGCAGCAGGCAATGAGCCACAACTACTGTATGACGCTAATAATACCGCATGGATGCGAAAACCTCGGTATGTGAAGCGGGTTTGAACCGTGGCCCATTGGGTATCGGTTGTCCCCCTCAACAAATGAATCACAGCTCCATACCCCTTGAAATAGGCACACACATACACACTCGCATATATACCCCTAGAACTTCCTATAAGCTTAGGAAAAACAGGAAAGCAACTAATAAACCTGTCACTTCATTAGTGAACAAGCAGGATTCACCCACTGTACCACATAACTCAAGTCAATGTAAGGCTTTAAATGATATGGATGCATTCGAATCCAAGCGAACTGTTGCTTTTGAAAAAAGAAAAATACCAATGAACACAGCCATTGCTAGCAAACGTATCTAAAGACGTTAAATAGATAACAAAAGCTATAATTACTGCAAATAATTGACTGACTGACAAAACCAGTGTAGAACCTCGCAAACAAGTGCATCGGCTCACTTAAGTTGTCACACTTCAGTGCTACAAAAAGAACAAGTGGGTAGAAAAAGACTGACATCAAATTACACAAAGTCTTGTGAGAAAATAAACAATCTGAAGACATAGATGTCAAGGAGTGAACACACCAGCACCAATGCGACCAAAATTCAGCCATATCACCAAAATTCACCAACCTCTAATACCCATCACCCCCTTGGACCACAACCACACAGTCTAAATCGCCACAACACAACTCAGCTCAACAGTAACAAACTTCATCCATTGGTGCCACGTTTTCATCCGGCTACCTTCAACCTTCTAAACTAATCCAACTTCCTCCAGCATCACACGTCAAGGTAGGTAGTGACTCTGCATGTGTGAAACATCTTCCAGACACCTCAGACGATCAAGGTTCACAACCTCATCATTCGACTTGCCTGTCTCACCTAGTACTCTTCCTCTGACCTCAATTTTACTCACATGGTGATTCCACAAAAAGTGAGCATTACTACGAAGATACCTATGATTAAAATCTTGTTACCACTTCATGTCTTCTACTTTCAGCACCCATGTCTCATGGCCGTTTAACAGGACAGAACGGATTGTAGCGCAGTATACCCGTCCATCGATAGATAGTCGGATATCTCGCCAGTCGGCGACATAGATGATGCAATTTTGTAAAGGTTAGACGGGCTTCTAAAACCGAGTTGAGATTTTGTCAGCAACCAGTGCGTTCAGGTTGATGCAACTTCCCAAGTAAGTGAAATGGTCGACAATTCCGACCACTTCACTTCTTATCATTAAACTAGGAGTACTTGTAGCAGACCAGTCCTGGAGCATCATCTAGCATTTGACAGGTGTCAGCCAGACACATGCCAAACATACTCAGACTTCTGCTCAATGCATCAACAAGACCCTGCATTTTGTCAGCGTCTTTGAGCAGCAGGACAATATCGTCTGCATACTCTAAGTCAAGCAGACGACCTTCAGGGAGTAGGTCAATCACTGGCAAATCAGACGTACCTAAATTTATGTCCATTAGTACGTCTATGATGAAGTTAAATAGTGATGGTGAAAGTGGACATTCTCGGCGAACACCACTAGCTGTCGTCAATTCGGATGACAACGCTCCATAAGCCCCGACAAGGCTGTGTGAGTTCGAGCAGAGAGCTTTAATTAGCTTATTATACTTTCTCGGTACTCGGCATTGAATCTGAGAAGCAATTAGTGTGACTGTGTTGCCTAGCCTGAAAAGATTTACTCACATATTGTGCGCAGGGTCAGGAGGTATGATGGGATACGCACTATACTTCCCAGTGAAAACTTAGGTATCTTAGAAGAATCAGATAGTGAAAAAGTCAAAAGCTGATTGAGTTACTTCGGTAGGTCTTTTCGGTAAGTAGTAGCATACAGATGTTGATCACGATCACAGTTGAGATCCCGCAAAAGGCTCCTATTTTGTTGGATAGTGCGGCATTGTTTAGATTGTTGAGAAATTTGGAGCCTGGTAGGTTACCAGGTCCTGATGGTTTACACAGGAGGCTGCTACCAACCTTGGCCGATATTATTCACGAACCGCTAACAGTAATATTTAGTGTCTATGCCTCAAGTCCGGTTACCTAGATAGTGGAAAGACACCTTGGTTCGCCTTATTTCCAGAAGTGGTATTACGCAACTAATAACTAGCTATTGCCCAGTAAAATTGACTCGCACAGTGGTGAAAGTTTTGGAGGAAATAATCACGAGAAAATTGCTGGGACATGTGGAAATACATTGCTTATTGACACAAGAGCAACATGGCTTCCAACCCGGACACTCCTGCTTAACGAACCTGCTTCCAGCCAGATGTGAATAGGTGAAAGTAAAAGAGTGAACTCCTTCTTCATGTACTTATAGATTTTAGTAAGGCATTTGATAAGGTGTTCCACTTGGGTTTGCTGAGGAAGCGCTTAGGTTTTGGCACATATGGGAACATTCGAAGGTGGTTTGGAGAATACCTGAATGATAGGAAGTAGAGTCAGAGGTAAAGCAACATCGTGGCTAAAAAAAGGTTACTAGTGTGGTTCCTTAGGGGACTGCAACGGACTCTTTTGTTCCTACTCGATGGTAATGAAATACCAGGTATGCTCAAGTCACCATTTTTGCGATTTCCAGATGACGTCAAGGGTTGGACGGTTGTTCGTGATAAATATGATAGGATAGCAGTCCAGAATGACACAAAAGAGTTGACGGTACAGTCTAGACGCCGTAACCTAGAAAATAACCCTATCAACAGTGCATCAATGCACATTGGTCTCATTAGATGGGTCAACAGTCTTGAGTTGGGAAACAAAAGAACCCAGGGTTTTTTCTACTAGCCGTAACTTGAAAACAACAGTGCACTGAAATGCAGTAGCCAAAGTATTCCTCATTGTATGCTCATTCGGTATGGGAGTGCTTTGATGAGAAAATATCTCAGATACTGTGTCCTACTTGTGCAAAACAATCTAGAATATTAAACACAGATAGCTAGTCATTGTTTCAAGAAGTAAACACAAAACGAGTACGAAGGTTGGGTAATAAGTTAGTGATAGAACTTCCCTACCTTACCTATAGAAAGCAGTTGGAAACTGAGTGTTTCCCATAATCACGTCCCATCAAAACGAGAGAACTTATGCTACCATAATGACTTGGGTGTTGATATTCATAATCTCTTTACTCCGTCAAGGACTGAATATCTACGAGATCACACAAATGTCCAACATCCAGGGTCGAATTAACACCGCGTTCAACGCAGGTTCCCATAGGGTGGTCAACTACTTGAACTTATCCCAACCTGTGGTAGATGCTTCTTGAAAAAACGCTAACAAAGAGAAACTGGATCGTAACACAGATTCATACTGACAGGCTACTAAACCTACTGCCCTTAAACCTAAGAACTGAAACTTACAATCCAGGCCAGATTGTTTTCCGAATCCATTGAAAGGGCTGCAAAATACGATTCCACTGAATCTTCATGATAGCCTAAATGAGAGCAACAGGCTCCCTTCATTACTAGTGTTGCATAATCCTTTGAGGTGCGTA